CTATTTTACTTTTCTGTGTCGTTCTTGTTTTCTCTTCAGTGTTAGGTTAAACTGTATCATTTTTACTATTTTGATATTTTGCAATATGTTGTGGTCATCAGTTATGCAAATCAGTTTCGGTGTGTCTTTTTAACAAGATGTTCTTCATTAATATTCACCGCCAGCACCATTGTAACAATTACATGTACACTTTGCTTTGACGATGCCGGTTGATGTTGTTCAATACAGGTGTTTTCGAATCTATTCTTCATGCTAATCATTTCGGGAAGATGATACACATTATCTATATTTTGGGTTACTTTGCTTATAAAGATTATACATGTAAACGTACGCAGTCTTAGTAGATTTTAAAGTAGATTTAATCAGTGCTGAATTAGATAGTTATGATGTTGTATGTTTAACAGAAACCTGGTTGCACCATGATATTCTAGGCCCTGGTATTACACTGATACCATTTTCAAATGGTAGCCTGTATTAAGGAATATATTTTAGATCTTTAATCAGAGTATAACGGCGTGGATATGTTGACAGTTTTTACGTAGTTAGTGTTAAAACCGAAGGTTTGTGACGATTAATAAGATCTCTGAAATCAGTTGCATCAGTAGTTCCGGTGTCACGAAATATATTCGCCCCCAGAATAATCAAACACTTACCTACCAAACTACTCCAAACTTTACTTAAACTATACAACCTAGTTTACCTAAACGGACAGGTCCCATCCTCATGGAAGGAAGCTCTAGTAATCCCAATACCTAAACCAAATAAACCAGCAGATCAGGCAAACTCCTATAGGCCCATATCCCTAACCTCAAATCTCTGCAAAATAATGGAACTTATGACTAAAAATAGGCTACAGCACTACCTAGACCAAAACAACATCATAAACCCCGACCAAAGCGGCTTCACTCCTGGCCGATCAACTCTCGATAACCTTGCCCGACTAGAACAGGATATAAAAACAGGACAGCTAAACAAGCAATACACCATAGGCATATTCCTCGACTTCTCTAAAGCTTTCGATATGGTATGGCACCACGGGCTAATACAAAAACTAAAACAAATAGGACTAAAAGGCCAAATAATAAACTTCATCCAAGATTTCCTAAACAATCGCAAAATTACCGTGGGTATAGACCATACGCTATCGGACCAGTGTCCCCTAGAAAATGGCACTCCCCAGGGCAGCATTCTCAGCCCAACCCTCTTCAATATAATGATAAATGATCTATTCGAGGGCTTATCCCCTAAACTAAACACTTCAAAATTCGCGGATGATGGAGCCCTATGGATCCGCACTAAAAGCATTAAAATGGCAGAAAACCTAATCCAAAAATCTCTAAATAAAATACAACAATGGGCAGACAAATGGGGCTTCTCCATTAACTCAGATAAAACAACAGGAATAGTATTCAAACATAAAAACATGAAACCTGCCTACCCAATCCTCCAGCTAAACAACCAAACAATCAAATTCCAAAAACAAACCAAATTCTTAGGACTTATTTTCGATCAACACCTCACATGGGAGGCTCACGTCCAAAACCTAAAAACTAGATGCAGCAAAGACCTTAACACATTAAGATGTCTCACCGGCTCTAACTGGGGAGCCTCCAAAGATACCCTCCTCTCACTACATACAACACTAATTAGATCAAAACTAGACTACGGCTGCGCCATATACAATACCCTAAACAACTCTCTATCTAAAAAACTTGACTCAATACAATACCAAGCCCTTAAACTAATTACACGCACCCAACATGGCACCTCCTACACCTCACTTCAGGCCTTTACAGGAGAAATGCCACTAAATCTACGCAGGGAACATCTAAGCCTTAATTTCTGGGCCGCGTCCCAAACAAACCCTCTCATCCAAAACCTAATTAACCAAAACATTAGCCCAAGAAACCAAGCTCTAACTCGCAAACACCCCTTACTCACCCCAATATCCCAAAGAATAACTAACTACCTCAATGAACACCAAACTCAAAATCTTAAACAAAACTGCAAAAATTCAAATATCTTCACCCCTAAACTCAAAATACCCCAAATAGACACAACGCTAACTAACCAAATAAATAAACAAACCGACCCAAACATAGCTAAAACCACCACACTTTCTTACATGGATGGAATGGACGCTATTTGGTCTTGTGAATTGTTGCTTGTAAGCTCAACACAATTGACAAATACTCTAAAATATATGACTACTAAACCATTAATGTACGTTGAAAAATATATATTGTAAATGCCAAAATGATGTATCCAGGACAAGTAGAAGATATATGGACAGCAGCGCTGGGAATTTATTCAACAGGCCCGTGAAAACGACACTGCTTTAGCTCAATGTTTACCACTCCTGGCGGCCATTATGCAACGGCCATCTTACCCACAACCCCATGCTCACGTCTACAGGTCTCTTCCTGTGGTACGGTAATTTGTAGAACCCTCGTCCTCAATTGTATCCTCCATGATTGGCTGTCCGTGGTGAAATGGGCTGGACATCCTCATTTCCAAAACAATAAAATTGAAATTCTTCGGCTCTTGCGCAGTTTGCTTGCTGCAGATCAATCCCGAATGCTGAATATTATTTGCAAATGGTCAGTAAAATTCCGTAGATCCTGGAATAATACAGTTTTCAACTACTTTCTCAGTTTACATTTACCAATTTATGACCTATATAATATTTCTACTGAAGAGTTTAAGCTGTCTAAAGTATGTCTGTTATCCTTAGACCATTCTGATTGGTTACATGGGCTCTGGAACGATACGGGCCAGGTAAATGGTAATAAGTAGTAGACATAGTAGAACCCTATGTCAGTTTATTGATGAACAGATGTCAGCGCAGTATATTAAGTAAGTTTCGCTGCGGCTCACTGCAATTAGAAATAGAATTGGGAAGATTCACCCGCCCCCAAAACACCGCTTATTGAACGTATGTGTAAATTCTGTAATTGCAATGCTGTTGAGGATGAAATACACTTTTTTGCTGGATGTTCTCTCTACACAGATTTACGCTATGATTTATGGAATTTAGCTTCTCAATCAACTCCAAACTTTATACAGATGTCCGCTGCCGATCAGACCGTGTTCTTTATGCGGAACAATAGGGTGGTTAGACCCCTAGCCGCGCTTCTTCATCACATGTATCAGCGAAGACTTAACCGTCTTTCGTCTCTACCAACTTAGTTCAATGTATTTTATTTCTTAGTATCAGAATGTTCTCCTTTCAACTTTTGACCCTGCACTGGTGATAACTCATTTTTATGTATATGTATGTACTGTGATATTTCTCATTTTTACTCATATGTATGTGACGTCTTGCGTGTCTCGTAGGCCATAATGGCCGGACACTGTACACACTATTTGTGTACTTTTATTGTCATTGTTGCACAGTGTGTGACACGTAAATAGTCGTACTAGAGACGTTTAATGTCAAATCACAAAAAAGCATTTGAATAGCAACAAGAGTTTGCCACTAACGTGGCTATATCCCCCGCCCCTGTTGCAGAAATAATGACATAATTAAATCTAAACAAACCCTAACCTTTTTTAACCGAGGTGGAACTTGTCATGGAAATTGTGAAAAAAAGAAGAGTTTGGAACCTAAGTCCATCTTGTTGCCATGGAAACGTAAAAAATAAAAATTTCTAAAAGTTCTAAATAGCAAAAGGCACCAGTTCAGCATGTACCTGACAGATCTGCAAAGTTTGATGAAGAACGGACGGACGGAGCCCGTTTCTATATCCCCCGCCAACTTTGTTGGGCGGGGGATAATAACATTTAACAGGATCATGTATTCTCTTAACACCATCGCAAAACACCATGTAGAAGCCACAACAGTACTCATATTTTCCAATAAAATCACATCTAAAATGAGACATCAGCAAGTACATATAATAAAATGTGTATTAACATTTTTCGTCAGGAAATCAAAAAGTTATCTCCTTGTTACCACCTCCAGGTTCAGCTAGACATGGGTACCCCTTTGGTCAAAAGTTTGTTCCCCCTCTAATGAGTGTGACACGCGTTGCACACGGGTATCACACGCGTGGCGGACGGGTTCCACACGAGTGAACAACGGGGTGCACACGGGTTGCGTAACGCGTTGCCCGTGCGTGTAAGGGGAATGAACTCCTTGGCAGTAGTCTACTTGGGAGTCGGATTCTAGATAACGTGTGACCGCTATTTGGCTGAGATAATGCCGATTTAACGATAATTTTAACTCACTGATTAATTGTCACAGTTAGAAACGTATGAAACGTGAGCAAATTAATTGATATTATCTGAGTATAATTAAGTATGTATTACTTCCACATACACAGGACAATAAGCTTTAGGCAACCAATCGTTAATTTACAAATACTCATGCATACTAGTAAGCTGCTGAGCAAAATAAAGTATACACCCATGTTGGTGATGTATACCGGTATCAAGTGCAGATGCAGCATTTTTAAAAGGATGATTTTACTGCCTACAACATACTACATTTGGTTTTCAAAAGGGTGGGGGTGGCAGCTAGTGATTGAACTACGAGTAAAATAATATATAGTGCTGTCCTGGCCAGATTTGAACTGTAATCTTTCCAGAATGGTTTTGTACAAGAGCTAGAGCTACATCTGCTCTTGGTATGTGAATGCCTCATTAATGATGAGTAGCTTTCCACAAAACAGGGTTGGTGGCCTGGTGCTTGATGCATTCACTTGTTTTGCCATGATTGGTATCCATGAAAGAAAAAGGTAGTCAGATTCACTGACTTGGTTGATGCATGTCATCAGATCCCAATGGCATAGATCAATGCTCATGATGTCAGTCACTGGACTGTTTGGTCCAGACTCGATTATTTACAGACCTCTGTCATACAGCTGGGATATTGCTGAGTGTGGTGTTAAACAACAAACAAACAAAACAAACATGTTTGAATTACATTATGATCACATTCAATGAAAAGTAGGATCTTGACAGGTAAGATGACAATCCATATAAAACAAACGTCTGGATTTATGAACTGAGACATTTTATTGACATGAAAATACCACAGATGTATTGATTCTGTATGTAAAAAGAGAGTTGACATGATTGTGATGCTCATCACTGCTGGTAAACAGTGCTCAACAACTTTACCCTCAATACAACTCCAGTCTATAACTTCATGAAAACAAATGGACAAAAATCGTCACCGTTTTTTATTACTTGTTTGTAATCTTTAAAAAGATAATCATTTTATGCCTACAAATCCAGATATGCTATAGATCTCTTGATAAAGGACAAAGAAATAGAAAACTTGACATATTTCATAAGGACACAGGTTGAGTAATCTGAGACATTTGAGAAACCTAAAGTATCAAACTTCCCAATGCTTTTCATGGTACATCACAGGATATCATACTATCAAATCATGGACAATAATACCATATTCATGGAAAATTTAGAGTGAGTGAGTTGGGTTTAATCCAGTTACATCATGTTGTGTCAGCTTACTGTGGAGGAAAGCCCAAACTGATGCAGGTCTCAGACGTTTACCACTTTGGTGAAACCTACCAGCACAGGTATTCTGCTGACAAACCTAGAAACATAAACGACTTGAACAAGGATTTGAACCCATGAACTAGGTTTTCTGGAGTGTAAAAGGACCACAACTCTGCACAGTGAATTGCAGTGCCTCAGACGACCAGGCCACCTGTGCCACCGGAATATTTTGAATAATTTCCTAGGATTTGACATTTGTCCAATGGCACTATGTGCCATGCATGCTTTGAAACATTGTCACATTAAATATGTAGAAGAATATTCATAACTGACTACGGATGGAAATGTATAAACTGGCAAAACATAAAGTGACTTATATAAGCATAAAATATGGAATATATTAAATCTCTTGAATATCAGAAAGCATAATTAAAATAAACAAAAAGTACTGAATAAATATATATAACATAAGAAAAACATTTTCAGATGCATCAACATAACATACAATAGAGAACATTGGCTAAGAGATGGCCTCATCTTCTACCCACACCAGGAGCTACCTGCTGTGTCCTTTATACACTATGAGACTGAGTTAAAGAGAGAGAATCTTTGGATGTCAACTTCTTTATTATGAGACACCCAACATCTTGGAGTGTTTGTTTGTCCTTCATGAAGGATGAAGGAGTAAGCATATACTACGAAACGTTGTGTTCCTCTGTTTGATTAGCTTTCTAGAAGTTGGTGAGTAAAAAGGAAAACGTACAACTTCATGGGCAACAACTTCTGGTTAATAGAATGTAGCGAAGGTTTGATATAGATTCTTACACTGTTATCAAGCTGGAGTGACTACAACCAAGTGAAGAGCTGTATATATGCTTGATATGTTGTTATAAGCAGTAATAATTCAATAACAATGTTGTGTTTCTCATAATAATGAAGTTGACATAAAGTCTCTCTCTTATGTGTATCACTTCTAAATGCCCTTCAATGACTTGAGGCTTAGTTTGTTGCTATGAAGCATTTTCATTGACCATAAAAGTAAACACATCTCACCTGCATGTAAATTTGTTCTCTTTTTCTTTCCATCAGTATAAACAGAATGCTTGAGAATGAAAAGTTTACTTGTGATTTTATCTTTATTCAAACAGATTTACATTCTGAAACTGATGGTATGTTTCTGACTGCTAGTTTGACAAATGACTCCTAGAACACTAAAGTTCTACACAGAATGCATTTTTGTAGACAGTTTTAGTACCATTATGGAGATCAGTACAACACTGTCCATCTCCTTGTAATAGATTTAGCATTAGACAGTACTTTATCAGGATATACATACAGTTGCAAGAACAAAGGGCGAACTGAAGCCTAGCCCTGCTGTTCGCACAACTATCAACTTTGAAATGGAGTCCTCTATCTGTCTCAGAGTACAGGTAATGCTTGAGTATCACTAATACCAGATATCTGTATAAAATTACTAGTTCAAGCAAATGGCACTTTCAACTTCCACTCAACATTGCTGAAGGAACATGAACTGCCATGGCATCTGTAAATCTCCAGGTGCCCAGCTTGAGTGGCACCCTTCAATAAAGTGTATTGCAGGTCCAGTACAACTAAACCCGGTTGTTGCATAAAGTGTGTTTTAGTTGGAGTACAATCAAATCTTGAAAATGAACTCACTACAATACACTCTATACAACATCAGGACTATAATAAGTGTATAACACCTGACACACACACACTCACCAGTGACTTTTGCTGTGCCCTTATCATGATTAGTGATAAATAACAGCTGAAGTTTGACATCACCATGAATGATGCACGATGCACACTCAACAGTTTCACTTCATCTGATACTGTGTCAGTGAACTCGTAGCCAACAACCCTCACTTTAGAACATTGAAAAACAAGTGGAATACTACATACATACAGAGATGCATCTGATCATAAAAGTTTTCTTCAACATATAAATTAAAATACTTATCACAGACAGCTATAGTTTGTACATGATATGAGTTGAACAACACCTACTCATATTCACACATGTCCTAGACTGACAATTCATTTACAAATTCATAATGCTTTGGATGTAATGAATGCTCTTGCCTGGTTGAAGGAGGGATATCAAGGACTAAAATACTAAAGACACCAGAAAGAATATTTCAAAAATGATATTTGATATGAAACAACATAGAAGATACATTGATCAGTACTCTCCAAATAGTCAGGAGAACTTGCTCCTTCTTTATAAACTCTATCAACAAAATGATAAATTGTGCTGAAAACCAAATGAAAATTGTTTGAAACAGCTCAGGGAAAGTAGCTCAGCTTTATGGTAGTGACTCATATATAGCTTCTTCATGATAGATCTATCATATCCCAATTGCATGGATCGATGCTCATGACGTCAATCACTGGACTGTCTGGTCTCAACTCGATTATTTACAGTCCGCCATCATATAGCTGGAATATTGCTGAGTGCGGCATTAAACAACAAAACAAACAAAAAACAAAAAAACACATGATAGATCTTCCATCAACCTAATGATCAAGGTTTCTGCATAAAGGAGTCAATGAATCATGACATCAATGCATACGTTACATCATATAGGTGCATGCACTATTACAGCAATACCATGGCAGCCATGAATGCATACCAGTGGTCGATAGTGTCACAATACATTGTAACTAACACACCAACTCAAACAGGTCAGTTGATTCAAAGTCACAGGACACAGAAGCATAAATAAATTAATTAAGACATGATTGGATCTAGTTACACAGGTTATGACAGATACTAGAGTGAAGGACAATCAAGGGACATACATATAACTTAGTGGAGTATTGGTCAGTTAATGACAGTGCAATGAGATCATTCACTTTATTGAATTTGTACATTTGAAATGTAACCATCATTTCATCGTATGTGAAAATCAGGTGATGAAATATACTAATCGATGAACAGGTAGGAAAATATTATGTCCAACAAGTATCTGTGATTCTGGGAGGCATATACTGACATGTGAAATGACTCATTGCAAGAAGCAAGTAAAATTACAGTGTATTCTGGGGGACAATTTAAGAAATATAATGTTAGCAATCAGGCTAAAAAAAAATAGTCTTGGTTCTCAGGCACCACCCGCATCATCATTAAGTCTGACACATGTTTCGTTTTTATTTCCATTTCCAAAAAAAACATCTCCGCGTTGTGAGATAAAATCAAAGCTCATTGTATGCATGTATTATGCACACACTGGTGGTCCAATGGTAGTCCAATGGTCGTCCAGTATTTTACTCATTAAGGAATACTTTTATGTAGGGTGCCTTTTCCCAGGTTGATGGTACACAACTGTTTATTTGGTTACATACCAGTTTGAATAACAAAAAAACAACCCAAAAACGCCCAACCACTCTATATTTTCAAAAGCCATTGCCTGAGAACAAATTCTTTTATTTTTTTACGCCTTAAGTAATAGGACAACAACTGCTTCTCAAGTAGTGGCTTTCTGAACATTGGGGCACGTGGACAATCTTTGTTAATCATAAAACAGTGTGCCTAAGGCACAGACATTATCACTTTATTATTCAGAAACAGAATGGCTTTTTGCAAAGGAACTTTACCATGTTCTTTTACATTTATATCTCAGATTTATGAGTGTTAGTATTTATATCAAGCATTAGGTGGGATAGTGTATACCTGAATAAAATAGAATCCAATACTGAGAAATATATTTTGATTTTTACAACATTGAAAGTGTCAGATATAATGTTTGAAATTTACTTGTGATATAGAACAAGTTTGATAACCTATCCTTTCAGCATGTTTAGAGTATCAATGAGATATCTTTGATTTCTGCAACAAAACAGTTAAAACATTCACAACAAAAGCATCAATGTCTACACAAAAGTCACTCCAACCTGACCAAAATGAAGAAACTCAAAATGATGAATGCTATTAAGATTAAAATTTCAGTACAAATAACAGTTGCTCAGAATTTCACAAAATATAAACTAATCAGACTTCAAAGCAAATACACTGACTGTCATATAAAAATACTGCTTAACTGTGTAGATCGACTAACTGAAGAATATTTTCACAACAGGAAGCCATACAAGCTCCAGCTAATGCATACACGTTATATCAAACCCATAATTCCCGGCAAGGTTTCCCATGTGTGTGTACCGATGATTTCCACATAACATCAACTGTGGAATGCCGGTATACTTGGACATGTTCAACAAAGACCCTGTTCCTAGCTTTACATCAACGTATCCGTCAGAGATAAAAGACAAAACATAAACAAATGTTATTCGTGTATAAAATACAGAGGTAAATGTTTTTTTTCTGAGCAAATATCTACATGGTAATAATGTATATAAATATATACATGTCACATGTAGTAAAACATACACAAATTAACAAACAACACAGTATTGCTGGAAGCTGTGAGTTACTGATTGGGAAAATCTGAAAGGCGAAGATTACCTTTCTTATCCATCTCTAAACAATGTGGTTTTCAAAAAATAAAGGCTATGATTTCCTCCACGAGTCCATTCCATCATTACTGTTTGTAGCGGTTTGTATATCTGAGATATATTTTACTACACCATGAATGATAATGCTGTCACATTATGAGTGTTATAACTATCCTAGTACATGTCCACAGTTTGTGCCATATCTACGTTTATACTATATATACTAGGTGTAATGCATGATGCATGTGTAGTATTCATAGATTTACTGCATGAAGGATTTGTTGAAGTCATTCACCACTCGCATATATTCGCATGTGGTATACATAGATTTACTGCATGAAGTATGTATAGTATTCATATATTTACTGCATGTGGTATACATAGATTTACTGCATGAAGTATGTATAGCATTCATAGATTTACTGCACAGGGTATACATAGATTTACTGCATGTGGTATTCATATATTTACTGCATGTGGTATACATAGATTTACTGCATGAAGTATGTATAATATTCACAGATTTACTGAACGTGGTATACATAGATTTACTGCATGATGTATGTGTAGTATTCCTAGATTTACTGCATGTGGTATTCATAGATTTACTGCCTGTGGTATTCATACAGTTACTGCAAGTGGTATACATAGATTTACTGCATGAAGTATGTATAGTATTCATACATTTACTGCATGTGGTATACATAGATTTACTGCATGATGAATGTCAAGCACATCCTAGATTTACTGCATGTGGTATTCATACATTTACTGTATGTGGTATACATAGATTTACTGCATGAAACATGTTTAGTATTCATAGATTTACTGTATGTGGCATTCGAAGGAATTCAGTGGTGGACTGTACATATACAGGGATCAGTTATACCTGTCATACAAGGTTGCACAGTTTAAGGTCTCTGAAATAGCATACAGAACTCAATAAGCTATACAAGCATGGGATATACATAAATTTACTGCATGAAATATGTATAGTATTGATGTGGTGTTCATAGATTTACTGCATAAAAATTTATGAGTAGTATTCATAGATTTACTGCCTGTGGTATACCTGTACATAGATTTACTGCATGTGGTATACATAGATTTACTGCCTGTGGTATACATAGATTTACTGCATGTGGTATACATAGATTTACTGCATGTGGTATACATAGATTTACCGCATGTGGTATACATAGATTTACTGCATGTGGTATACACAGATTTACTGCATGTGGTATACATAGATTTACTGCATGTGGTGGTATACATAGATTCACTGCATAAAGTATGTGTAATATTCAAAGTCTTAGTGCATTTAGCATACATAAATTTACAGAATTGAACTCCACAAGTTTTACCAGCATTTCAAGTATGTGTCACTGAAGAATACAATTCTAACACTTGTTGACTGTACATATATATATACAGTTGTAAAGAATATGTTACAAAGGGATGGACTTATCATGTATTCAGACATTTCTTTCGCACTACAGAATGCTGCACACTATACTGTACAGCCCAACATCAAATCTCATGATTCCATGTTTTCATTCAAGCAAATCTAATCCATGACTATAACCCTTATTTGTAAGTCCATAACACAAGTAGTCAGTGAAATGAGTTTCGTCTGTTATGATAACTAAATAAAACAGTAACCCATTTTCAGCAAATCTCAGAAATGTCAAATATATAAAACACACTAAGTTGATAAACTACACAATGGCTCAATTCCACAGAGGGGTGCCTGTGCCCTGTCTCATCCAATCAGTTGCAACAGTTTTTTTTAAGTTAATAAGGCAATACCAGCCAAATATGGCTGAGATGAACCACCTTTAACAGAAGGGTCACAGATGTTCAGAAAGCATCTCTCAAAACACTCATCAATGATATACTTTATCACCATCATACACGATATAGGAATTCACTGTGGTTTTGAAAAAGAAATTACATCTGGTCTCTGGATTTGATCGAAAGGGCAGGTTATGATTATGTGTTGATGATAATGATTGGCTTTTGATTACATCACTATAATATGTAGGATGTCTGATATTGCTTCCTGCTGATCTAAGTCAGCATCTTGTAGTTTCACATTGCTACACAACCATATTGAGGTATTCTTTGGAGATCACATGTGATAATTACTAAATATGGAGCTTAATGCTTTCATGTGGAAATACCAGTAATGTATTTCATGATCAACAATGAGTGTTTCAAGAAATCATTAATAAGTAACAAAATGATAAACAAATCAAATATATTATATATAAAAATCAATTGCAAATGATGCTCCTCTTTGAAAGGAAAAAGATATTTCTAAACACATAGACCTAAAACAGAATGTTGCTTTCACAAAAGTAAAGTTTTACAGGAAAGATTTGACTCTTATAACAGTTTAACAAATGTAGTTTTATCTAAATTGAGTGGAAACTTATCTAAATTGAGTGGAAACTTCATCATCATTGTCCTGCATTTAACAGATGAGTTTCTTACTGTTGCTGGTTGTCTGTAAAGGAATGGACAAAACTAAAGACACTGTTCATTGACATTAAAAGGTCATGACAGAGAAGATGATCTTTAGAAGCATCACAGCCATAACAGTTGGTGAAACTGCTCTTCATAGAAAAACCCATACATAGACTACAACTCCACATAACTCCTATGAGTGAACATGTAGTTCCACTACATGAGAGTGGGTGAGTGAGATGGGTTTAACACTGCAGTAAACAGTATTTCAGTGGTATTGTGGTGCCATAGATGACTGGGCCACCTTGCCCCCTGTGGTATCAGAGACTCAGAGCTGATGGTGATGATGGTAATGCTACTTCCCCAAATTTTGTTTCAACTATTCTTTGAAGATTGAACTTATTGAAGGATATGACAAATAGCCTGCTAATGTCTGCCTTCCACAACAGTTAGATTTGCTTTGAATATATTTAAGTACCAGGTTTCCTATTACTTCTACAGAGTAGAGTACAGAGAATGAGAAGACCTGACATGCATTCACCATCCTTCCAGTAATGGTAACAGTACAGGTCTGGCTCAAAACTTATGTCCCCCATACCATTGATAAATGAAATCCTGGTACGTCTCTATTGTACAGAGCAATGAGTGGATCTGTTGTGTGTCTTGTCATTGATTTAGGGCTATACTAACACTATTCCTAAAGCAACTGACTCATTATGAATCCCCATCACACTGGAAGGTAAGCGATCCTGATTTCTGTTTTACAGACCAGTTAGTGTATCTGTTGCACCCCTTCAGTGCTCTTAGTCCTCACGAACACAGCTATGTCCTCAACATCTTGAACCCACACTATTCTCTGCTAAAGATGTCACTGATGGAACTCCTTATTTGGCTCCTCAAAGACAGAGAGAGGGTCCTCTTCATGTCTTGCTTGTCACCAGAGCCAGAAGACAATAAATACATGTAATATTGATCTGAATCACCGTACCAACGTCTGTTGAAAAAAACCATTCTTCCTTTCCCAATGCACATCCATATCTTTCCTGACACCAGAAAAACATGATGTTATCTACTTTCTTGATGACATTAGAAGTTTCATTATGATCACAGAAGGAGACCCTACAGTAGCAGAAGTGGATCCTTTCCCATTTAAAATTCCTGTTCCTGCTCACAAGGAGAACCTATGGTTGCAAGAGTATATCCCCTTCCCCATTCAGGAGTCCTGTTCCTGCTCACAAGGAGAATCTATGGTTGCAAGAGTGTATCCCCTTCCCCATTCAGGAGTCCTGTTCCTGCTCACAAGGAGAACCTATGGTTGCAAGAGTGTATCCCCTTTCCCATTTCCCATTCAGAAGTCCTGTTCCTGGTCAGGAGATACTACAGCTGCAGGAGTATTTCATTTTCCATTCAGAATTCCTGTTCCTGCTCAGTAGACCCTATGGTTGCGAGAATGTATCCTTTCCCATTCAGAAGTCCTGTTCCTGGTCTGAAGATGCCACAGTTGCATGGGTGTATCCTTTCCCATTCAGAATCCTGTCCCTGTTCATGAGGAGAGATCATTGATGTCAGATCTCTTATGTCAGTGACTGCCATATCCGTTTAAACACCCCTAGAAAGTATACTTCTTATCATCTGTCCCCTTGTTCTTCACTAAGGGCAGATCTGGGGTTGTTCTACTGTCACAGTCTAATGATGAAGATAATGATGATGATAATGATGATAGTGATGACATCAATGACGATGGTCGTGAAGATGACAGTAATATCCCTCACATCCAAGTCCTTCTAAGAAAGGCTGTAGAGTGGAAATGGTGTAGTAGTTGGGAAACATTTATCACTCTCTTTCTATAAACATTAACACATTTGTCCATTGTCTATCCAGTGTTTATCAGGAGAGATCGGTGGAAAGAGTCTATGATTAGGTAAGACAGTCTCCCTTCACTGGCACCCTGTAACACCTAGTGGATCATGTTCACAGCCTTACACATGACATACACCCTGAGCTACACCATCCCAAATCCTTGATTGCCTTCATTGATGGCTAGGAGCAGCGATCGGTGGAAGTTTTCAATACTGTCGTAATCAGGCAAACACAGTTGGTTGAAACTGCAAAAACAAAACAGAGAACAAGTTTAAATTCATTCAATGTCATTTAGACATACTGTCATTTCTGTGAACTAGCAACTCAAAAGGACCAATAAGATATGTTTGTTATACCTAACATTTGTTTTCTATTGGAAACAGTTTATATAATTGAATCATGAGAAAATAAACAAATGGTTGAACTATGATGAGTATGTTTTGTGAACAAAAATACATGTGTTTTGTAAATCAAAGGCAGATACAGCATTTTATAAGGAAGGGGTCCTCTCTCAGTCAATTCTACTGCCTACAACATCCTACATTTGGTTTACAAAAGGGGGACTGGTCTGGACCCCCTGGATCCGCCGATAAATGAAAGAAGGGCATGATGTAAACAATCAATCAAAACCATGAGGGCAAGTTAACGTCCAATGAGCAAGGTCTCATAGTGTTAACTCTAATCCTCATCAATCAGTTATTATAACCAGGCTACTGGGGATCTGCACTGGAATCACTATGTGGATTGTAACACATAGAAACATATGTAACGAATAGTTTATGACTTCCACAGATAGAAGAGGTGTAACCCACCATGTGTGCGCTGTTGGAAGTGTATTGTAGGTTGGAGATGAGCTCAGCTGGATATTGGGGTTGAGTTCACCAAAACCTCCAGCAGGCAGCTGGGAACAGCCGGTTGTGAATTGTAACAGCCTCGCCATCTGTTCCTCGGTGAAGCTTGCAACGATTGTCCAGAACCACTCCAGTACCTGAGGGAGAATGGTCAGGGTGACAACAGTCTCATCACTACGTCTAGAGGAGGTATATAACAAGTGGGGAACATTGCTACTTATGAGTAGTAACCATAAACCATTAATGCGAGGATGTACTGTAAGATACAGTAACAGTACTACTAAAATATCAAACAGTCCATACATCGTCTCCATGGAGACATGGCAATGAGGACCATCAACAGCCTCAATATTGTTACTTACCAACTTCTAAAAATGCTTATCAAACAGTCAAATGAATACTAGTACCTCAGATACACTAGAACATGAAGCCATTAACAACTGCCATAACGAAAGCACCACCTGAGTGTGAAATATCCTAAACACCAACTGCCTACCTTGGTGAATGCTGCACTCACACCCACAACAGTATGACGTAGTTTGAAGTCAGCAACACTGTAGTTGCCTGTACCACACATCAGCAACTGAAACAGATCAAAGTATTGGCATCAATGGTATTCCTGGGTACTGGGAACTTTAAGTAATTTCAAACAGGAATTTACCTCAGTCTATCAATTTTCAAGTCCAAGGGATTCTTAGTTATAGTTCTGTTTGTTTGTTTGTTTGTTTGTTTTTCTGTTTGTTGTTTAACACCGCATTCTGCAATATTGCAGCTATATGACGGCAGTCTGTAAATAATCAAGTCTGGACCAGACAATCCAGTGATTGATATCATGTGCATTGATCCACGCAAATGAGTTACAATGACATGCATTAACCAAGTCAGCGAGTCTGACCACCCAATCCCATTAGTCGCCTCTTACGACAAGCATACTCGCCAGGAAGTATGGGTTGCTGAAGGCCTATTCTAATCCAGATCTTCACATGTCAGTTATAATTCTGTGATCCTAGACATGAACATGGGGTTCCCTGGCGTTTTACTTGATTTCCAAAAACCATTCTGATATATTATTGCTCATGCTCAGACGTTTTAAGCCTATTCAAGATGGGGGCTTCAATGTTAGATTGAAGAAAATCAATTTTGCATTTCTTACCAGAATAGGGATGTCAATTATATTTATCACTGCAATCTATTATTTCCATTACTTATAGGAGCATATATTCATAACTCTACCATTTTTAGATTCCATATTGTGTGTCAATTTGTCTATTTTCAGTTGAAATTTAAATTGAATCTCTTATGTGAGTATCAAGTTCTATCTTAGAATATTAATAACAGAAACATGTTCATCTAAATCATTTATTTGTTTTTGTGTTCCAGTCACTAACAAATGTTAACACTTTCAGCCCAAAAAGTGTCACCTCAAGTTCGTTTTCATCAAAGATGCTGAGCAAGTTGTCAGGGATAAGCTCATTGAGCCCCTTCAGGAATGCATCCACCGCTTCCTTGACTGCCCCGGTCAGTCGGAACTGAGCAAGCAGATCAAGATACCGAAGTTTGTTCTTGTTCGTCACCTTAACACGGCTGCCATTAGTTACCAGGTCCACTGTCTGCAACAACAGATCAAACTTGTACCATAAGCAACAAAACACTTTCCACATTCATCAGAAATCTCTACTAAAAGCTGATAGTACAATTTCAATCATAGTAGTGAGACAGGGAGAAAAGGTGAGCATATCTTGCCCCACTGGTGGCACCCAACACAAACACATGCAAAGGCAAGTCAATCGTTCGTCCGAAAAACATGGGAATACAAGGTAAAAAGGAAAAACGGGAATTGCATCAGACATCATTTTTGTCACTGATGCGTCATTGAGCCCAACACAGCACTGGTACAAGTTTTCTCGTTTTGAGAGAGATTTGGATCCCTAGCTATAGGAGTGTATCGGACAGAGCTGACTATTGAAGCATCTGTCAGACTCCTCCCCAAACTCCTCACCTTGACCAGCTGGCCTGTTGATGAGTACTCCTCCTCACAGAAGGTGAGGTCCATGTCATTAATATCATGCTCCTCAATGTACTGGATCTTCGTCTTGAACAACTCAGGGTCGTCTGTTTCAAAGTACTGAAAAGGTAATGGGTAATGGTAAAAGTAGGCCATTATTTAACAGGGGTGGTCAGGTAGCATAGTGGTTAAAGCGTTCGCTCATCACACCGAAGACCTGAGTTTGATTCCCGACATGGGTACAATGTGTGAAGCCCATTTCTGGTGTCCCCCGCCGTGATATTGCTGGAATATTGCTAAAAGTGGCGTAAAATCAAACTCACTCACTCACTCACCATTATTTAACTACCAAATAAGATGATAATGATAACAGTCCATTTGTATGGAGGGGAGATGCTGTAAAAAAAAGTAAATAATTTGTCCCAAGAGGAAGTAAAAATGAAAAATTGTTTGCTGGATGTTCTTAAAGTATTTCTACAATTGTTTAACTCCCTCATTTCTCAAAGAAAAATCCCCATCACCCTTCAAAACAGGATTTCTCGGGGCCCATTCTACCTCTGAACCCGGGAAATGATGATCCTGAACTGACCTTGTAGTTGACCCTGAGGCCAATGAGCTGAGCCAGAAATGAGCGTGAGAACCTGGCCTTCACCAGCTGTCTGTAAGGTCGACCTAGCGATGACTCATAAAGGCACTTGCCCACCACCTTCCCAGCAAACTCATAGTACTTGAGCTTCCGATCTGTTTGCCTCTTATGGTTGGGATGTACCTGAAAAAGTTGCAAATGTACCTAAAAAACAGCACAACAACAGTGATCTTCAACAGCATCATCACAACAACAACAGTAATTATCAACAGCAGCACAACCTTAAGAAAGAAAGTTCCATTTTGACATCTTAAGGTCAAGTGATACTTCAGGTCCTCCAGAATGTTAGTATGACTTGATGATGACCTTTAACTGGACAGATCAAACTGACTACAAAATATCACAGGTACCACTTTTCCTAGGCAGAAACAAGAGATGTAAAACTCACAAGCCCCTGACTGTCATCTGTGAACCTTGTGAAGAGACCGGCACCACTCGGGTCAAACAGTTCTGTGCACAGAAGCTCAAACCATTCCCTCCGCAATCCACCCCAGTCCAGGCCTGTAAACATGTAAGCACTGACTGTAAGTTACTTCGGTGGTTATAGTACATGCTGACACCAACAGACACAAGAATATTTTAAGAGGTAATTTTTATGGGTTGTTTTAAGTTTGTTGCATTTTGAAATTGTAGTTTCCTCCAAAACAAATTGATCCTTATTACCCTTAAGACTTTCAAAGGCATTTAGAAATTGGGATGATGTTTAATCACCTGATGAAGGAGCAAGTAGTAGCTCTGAAACGTCATACAAAGAATAAAAGAAGTTCCTATCCATAAGAAAGACTCATGTATTCCTACTTACCCTCTTCACCAATGAAGTTTATTTCAAACCGCTTACACCAGTCACTCAAATCGAAATGTTTTGTTGCCTTGTATGACTGAAGTGAAACAAAGCAGTTGGCTAAAGGGAGACAACATCACAAGAAATTTGACCTGATTTTAAACTCTACCAAGAAATGTTTCCTCTACATATCTGCCAGAGTGTACAATACAAGAAAGATTAATTGAACCTGGTTTGATGCATATACCCTTGTTCCACATACAAATGCCTGACTATTCAAGGTCCCTGGTTCTCCCAGGACAAGTACCATCTGTCAAACTTTCCGAGCTCTGTAGCCTTATGTTACTGATCCTATGAATGTTTTATTTTATGGCGCAGTCAGCAATATTCAGCTATATCATGCATCTTGTCCAGACAAACCAGTGGTTGACATTATGTGCAACACTGCATGCTGTCCTGGTTTGTTGCCATGCAATTGAGTGAGTGAGTTGGGTTTAACGCCGCTCTTTTAACAGTATTCCAGTTACATCACAGCATGTCAGCTTTAATGTGGGAGGAAAGCCCTAAGTGATGCAGGTATCAGACGTTTACCACTTCGGTGAAACCCACGAGCACAGGTATGGTGCTGACAAACCTAGAAACATAATCGGGGCGAACTGGGATTCGAACCCACAATCATAGGTTTCTGGCGTGCCCAAGGGACGCAACTCTGCACAGCGATTTGCGGCACCTTAGAAAACTGGGCCACCCGTGCCCCCGCCATGCAATTGAACAAGTCACCGAGCCAGCCAAACCAATCCAAATTATTGGCCTCTCATGACAAGCAACAGAGGACTGGAGACCCATTAGGGGTCCTTATCACTTCTTATAACAGATATCTGGTAATGGGCACCCATGCTGCCAGGAATGGTGTAATGCAAATATGCAAGATTACTCACACTATGTAGGAGTCTTGACCTGTCTATCTTGATAGGGAGACACGCATGAACACGCTTATTGTGCAGTTGTCGAACCTCGTGATTAAAGAACGTCTGCTTGTCCAGAAACGTCTCTGATCCACCTAGTAAAAGATTTACAATGTTTAGATCTGTGTAGATTATCCTCAGTTTTGTCAGCTGTTATCATAAGGATAGGGTAGCAGGGATTGATTCTGCCCAGAGTCACTGCTGATTTTGATCAAAGAAAAGATCTACATGAATAATTACTAAAACAAACACAATGTTTCAACCTAACATTCCGGGATCAACAGTTTATTCTTAAATGCAAAATGTGTAACCTGGAATCCAACCAGTTCCTCTTTTAGATGAGGTTTGGAAATGTCAGCCTTTGAAATTCAAGCTAATCTTCTAGCCCAGATTACTGAATTGTGCTGAGAACAAGTAAAACTTCAATGACGATAGTCCTCATAGACTAGCAGCATTCCAGAGTTATAGTTCTGAACCAGTTGTCAATTGGTAAATTTGGCAACAAAAAAATCATTTTTAAGGCTGAATGTCCAAGAAGGAAAACATCTAACCTGAAAGATATTTAGTGAGTGAGTTCTGTTTAACACCAGTTTGAACACTATTCCACAGAGCTCCAGATTTTAATTTTTGAGTTTTTACTCGAAGGTTTCTATTTTAATTAGGTTATTACATTATTCATTGGGTAACCAATATTTTTTCACTCATCTATTCATCAGTCTATTGGCTTTTTGCCAAAATGAGTAGGCATTTTGAGATTTAAAAAAAAATGAAATAATGTTTTATATTTATATAACGGTTCTAAATAAAGGCTTGACAGGGAAAGTAAATCAGTTCGTAATTGTGTTTCGGAAATTAGCTCCGTTGTTCACATGCTGAAAAAGCTTCATTGGGTATTTGCGCATGATGTTTTCAAACAATTGAGTTTTGAATAGTTTTGAGGGGTATTTTACGCAAATACATAACTTATCTGTAGCTCTGTTTCCAGTTTATATAATGGTTGGAGGAAAGCCCAGAGGGATATCATAAGACATTTACACATAAGACCATATACTGTAATATATTACTTATTGCATTTTCATCCCTGAATACCTCACTACAAACTACCCCACCTCACATCATCTTGTTGTCCCAAAGTTCCTACAGCCAAAGACAAAGTGTTCCCCTCTCTTTTACTTACAATTACACCAAAAACAAACAAACAGTCACACTTCATGTGATGTCCACTGACAGATGCTGCCTCACATAATCTAAACATTTGTATCAAAATAAAATAACTATATTGGGGCCTTAGGTACCTATATTTTTCAGGAGATAGTTAGTGAATGTTGCTGCGATGATGTTCCTGTCCTTGGCCACCAGGACGATGGGAGGCTGAGCACCATCGTCTATGGTAAACACAGGTGCCTCATACTGGTTATTGAAACCATTGAAGTGGAACTGAAAACATAATGGGAATGTTCATCAAAATGTGCATTGTTTGTTTGTTTGTTTGTTTAATGCCGCACTCAGCAATATTCCAGCTATATGATGGCGGTCTGTAAATAATCGAGTCTGGACCAGACAATCCAGTGATTGATAACATGAGCATTGATCCACGCTATTGGGATCGATGACATGCATCAACCAAGTCAGCGAGCCTGACCACCCGATCATGTTAGTCGCCTCTTACGACAAACATAGTCGCCTTTTATGGCAAGCATGGGTTGTTGAAGACCTGCTCTATCCTGGATCTTCACAGGTCTAAAAATGTTCATTGAATGTGATCTCGGAAACCTTGAGCAAATATTGACAACAGAACCATGACCGTCTGTCATTACCACAAGCTAAGACTTTCACTTAATCTCCTAAATCAGATTGTACAGGGAACAAAATAACTGTACAAAGTAGAGCCACAAGGCTCTGTAGCTCACCTGATATTTCTGACACATTATAGACACCATTGCTGTGATCACCCATGCAAAGTTTCAGTTTCCTAGTCCTTTTCATTTCAGAGGAGATGTTAAAAATGTTACAGTTAAGAGCGAGGACAGACAACGCACCACGACATGACTTCACTTAACTCTCAGTCAGGTGAGCTTAAAGTGTTAGAAAACATGGTTAATAGCTTGCGAGTGTGGTATTGCACTGTCTTGGCAATATTCAAGACATAATTGTACCCATAACAGCAATTGAGCTCTGATGAAGAACCCATTAATACTAAATATATTTTACAAAAGGAACACCTGATTTCACTCTTACCTTAGTTGATGGGCAGACCCTGAAGGCGTAGAGCTTTTTCCCTATGATTTTCAAATAAAACTCCTTAAGTGTTAATTGCTGAAATACAAAAGTACAATAAATCATTGATGAGACTAAATAGGGGAAAGTTAGTCAAGTACTGAGATTGTCAAAGTCTAAACTGAGTGATTTTTTAAATGATACCTAAAACTGACCATTATTGTTTTTAACACAATGCCACCAATTTATTCCTTAAAGAAATCTGGTAAAGGAGTAAGGATGACTAACTTAATAATGTATTTAGGAGACATTTGAGCGTTTCGGGGGAATTGTCACAACAAACTAATTATTAGTTTGTGTATAGGCTGCTAGACCTGAGGAGGGGATGAGTATAGGTTGCTAGGGCTGAGAAGGGGATGAGTATAGGGTGATAGAGCTGAGAAGGGGATGAGTAGATGGTGCAAGAGCTGAGGAAGGCATGAGTACAGGTTGCTAGAGCTGAAGAGGGGATGAGTATAGGTTGCTAGGGCCGAGAAGGGGATGAGTATAGGCTGATAGAGCTGTGGAGGCAATGAGTATGGGCTGCAAGAGCTGAGAAGGGGATGAGTATAGGCTGCAAGAGCTGAGAAGGGTGAGTGAGTGAGTGAGTATGGTTTTACGCCGCTTTTAGCAATATTCCAGCAATATCACGGCGGGGGACACCAGAAATGGGCTTCACACATTGTACCCATGTCGGGAATCGAACCCGGGTCTTCGGCGTGACGAGCGAACGCTTTAACCACTAGGCTACCCGACCGCCCCAGCTGAGCAGGGGATGAGTATAGGCTGCTGGAGCTGAAGAGGAGATGAGTATAGGCTGCTAGAGTTGAGGGGGGATGAGTATAGGTTACCTCTAAATTCAGTAAGAAGGACTGGATCATCCAAAACAGATATTTGTAAACTGAAATTCCAGCAATCAAGTACTATGTTATGGCCTGAGGTTGTCCTACCTTTGGTGAAATATAGACATAGACCTTTTTAGCCTTGTCTAGCTTCTCGTGGTTGCAGGATATGAGCCGAGCTTCGTACCACATGTTGTGACTCTTCTTTGCCAGGTTTTTGTGTACATGGGTTGTCTCCTCATCTGTGCACAGAAAATAGGTCGAGTTGACATCTGCAGTCTGATAGACTGGCCTACTGTTTAATTTGTGAGGTTCTTATCAAACACCTGTTTCGTTTTTGCATTGTGGATTGATCATTACAAACTTACTTATCTTTTTGTTTTATGTTTTTTCCCAAAATGCCAAGAATCAGGAGGCAAAATAGATATATAAAAAATCAAATATCCTTCCATTCATTTATCACATGGGCTTAACGCCACTTTGGACAGTATTTCAGTTATATCACAACATGGGAGGTAAGTCCGAATTGATTCAGGTTCAAGATGAAACTCACAAGTTTAATTATGGTGCTGACAAAATAAGAATGTTAATCAGATTGAATCTGGGATTCGAACCTACGATCATCTTATTCTGGCACAAAGACAGGAAACACGATTACAGAGTCAATCACAACCAACAATAACAATAACTCAAATTTGTAAACCATGAGAAAGTATCTTGGGTAAAGCTGAATAAAAGTACCAGATACTTACAATTTAAAACTAAAATATTGAATTCTCCATTTTTTAACTTGACATCTCCATATGACACTGTTGCTTGGTAACAACCAGCTTTCTCCATTGTAATGTGCATAGTAAGTCGCTTCTCATTGGGGTCGTATATTATCTGGGTTGCTGGAACATACTTGACATGGCTTCCAGCCTGGAATGAAAAATATAGTGATGATATTATGAAAGTTGACCAATAGACACTGTAGGTAGATAATATATCAACAGCTGCTAACATCATCTCAATCAGTGAATGGAGTATAGTAGGCTGACCAGTGGGTGGGGGAGATGTCACTGTATGGATGAGTGAGGGGAGGAGTGGTTGAGTGAGTAAGTGGGTGACTGTATGTATGAGTTAGTAGGTGAACAGAAGGATGAGAGAGTGGATCAGTAGGTGACAGGATGGATGAGTAGGTGAACAGAAGGATGGAAGAGTGGATCGGTGGGTGACAAGAAGGATGTGAGAGTGGATTGGTGGGTGACAGGATGGATGAGTAGGTGACAAGAAGGATGAGAGGGTGGATCGGTGGGTGACAGGATGGATGAGTGAGGAGGTGATCAGAAGGATGAGAGAATGGATCAGTGGGTGACAGGATGGATGAGTAGGTGACAAGAAGGATGAGAGAGTGGATCAGTGGGTGATAGGATGGATGAGTAGGTGACAAGAAGGATGAGAGAGTGGATCGGTGGGTGACAGGATAGATGAGAAGGTGACAAGGATGAGAGAGTGGATCGGTGGGTGACAGGATGGATGAGTAGGTGACAAGAAGGATGAGAGAGTGGATCGGTGGGTGACAGGATGGATGAGTAGGTGACAAGAAGGATGAGAGAGTGGATCGATAGGTGACTGGATGGATGAGTAGGTGACAAGAAGGATGAGAGAGTGGATCGGTGGGTGACAGGATGGATGAGTAGGTGAACAGAAGGATGAGAGAGTGGATCGGTGGGTGACAGGATCGATGAGTAGGAGACAAGAAGGATAAAAGAGCGGATCGGTGGGTGACAGAATGGATGAGTAGGTGAACAGAAGGATGAGAGAGTGGATCGGTGGGTGACAGGATGGATGAGTAGGTGACAAGAAGGATGAGAGAGTGGATCAGTGGGTGACAAGATGGAGGAGTAGGTGACAAGAAGGATGAGAGAGTGGATCGGTGGGTGACAGGATGGATGATTAGGTGACAAGAAGGATGAGAGAGTGGATCGGTGGGTGACAGGATGGATGAGTAGGTGACAAGAAGGATGAGAGAGTGGATCGGTGGGTGACAGGATGGATGAGTAGGTGACAAGAAGGATGAGAGAGTGGATCGGTGGGTGACAGGATGGATGAGTAGGTGACAAGAAGGATGAGAGAGTGGATCGATGGGTGACAGGATGGATGAGTAGGTGACAAGAAGGATGAGAGAGTGGATCGGTGGGTGACAGGATGGATGAGTAGGTGACAAGAAGGATGAGAGAGTGGATCGGTGGGTGACAGGATGGATGAGTAGGTGACAAGAAGGATGAGAGAGTGGATCAGTGGGTGACAGGATGGTGAGTGACTGGTTGGATGAGTGACTGTAGATATGTGTGTGGTAAGTTGGTGAGCAAGATAAGCAAGTGGGTGAGTGGGTGACTAGATAGATGAGTGAGTAGGTGACTTGATGGATGGAGGAGAGGCTGGATGAGTGAGTGAGTGTGGGTGGTTGGGTGTATGAGTGGGTGTGTAGATGTGTGACTGAGTGAGTGACTGGGTTACTGGTTGAGTGTCAGTGACTTGGTGAACGGGTCACTGGTTTAACAGATCAATGTATTCGCAAAGTGTATCAAGACAGGGGGCAGGCAGGCAGGTAGATATAATATTATGCAGGTGATAATGAGACTATACCTGTTGTATGAGAAAAGTCACATTCCTGACTGTACCGGTAATTTTATAAAAGTTCATGCTGTTTAAAAACACAATCAGTTCACATCACTAATTGAAAGTTATAATTCAGTACTGGCTTCACCAAAGATATGCACATTAGGAAATATTAGCATTACTCAGATGTAGATATATACAGTATATATGGTTATTAAACGTTCATTCCTCATATAAAATCCTTGCTGACATTGGATGATATACGTCTCGTTTGTATCATTTGATAACAAATATATCAGTACTCATCAATATTCATCTCCATTACTCAGATTTTATGACTCTTATTGAGTGATGTATTTGACATGAAAAGACACTCTGGGGAGATCATTGATTTATTCTAACCTCGAGGTACCCAGAGAGATCAAACTGGAATTGATATCGTAAATCCTAACAAGACCTCAAACCCCAGGATGATGTTAATTTCAAACACTGATTAACATGTTTAGCCTCCACTGCACCAACTATGTCTATGGCTCAGTCCCACTTATTGGAGTTAACAATCTATATAAAGCCCCTGTAAAATCCCTATCACTTTCCCATGAGCCTTGCTGTAATTCTTCTGCATACAGAGAGAGAAAGCATTTGGTTTTATGCCGCTTTCAACAATATTCCAGCCACATCATAGAGGAGGACACAAGAAGTGATCTTCACACATTTCACCCATGTGATTAATCAAACCAGGCACTTGGGGTGCTATAGGTCTTCAGCAACCCATGCTTGCCATATAAAGCGACTATGCTTGCCGTAAGAAGTGAGGTGAAATTGGGGTTAACGTCGCGTCCAAGATTATTGCACTTATATAGCGACGTGCATGCATGTGTATGTGTTTGTGGCTGCTTGTACTAGTCCGGACTGATGCCGATTTATAGTGCTAGCTCACTGAGATACCATGCCGCAGTTTAACATGAATACCCCACTCAGACACAGTATACTGACTCCGAGCCGACCAGTCCTTGTTTTAGCCCCTTAATGCCGAGCACCAGACAGGGTAACAACAAGTAAAATCTTTTAACGTCTTTTTGTATGACGCGGCCGGGGATCGAACCCTGGACCTTCCGCTCTCCGGGCGGACGCTCTACCACAAGACCACAGAGGCGGTCTGCTTGTCGTAAGAGGCGACTAACGGCATTGGGTGGTCAGGCTCGCTGACTTGGTTGACGCATGTCATCATATCCCAAATGCATGGATCGAAGCTTATGATGCTCAAAACTTTGGTGTGATGAGCAACCATTTTACCACTAGGCCACTTCACCAACCTGTATTTCAAGAAGTATAGAAGATATTGCCCTTATATTTCTACTGAAAACTGACCTCTCGGACACGAATCTTGAAGTAGTTATTCTGGTCAGTCTTGTATGCAGCCAGGTTGCCGAAAGAGTCTTTGGTTTCTATGGTGAGTGGATGGGAGGAGCCGGCTGTGCACACAACGGTGGAGCTGTAGTTCATGAAACCGGTCTGACTTGCATCTATAGGACCTGCAGGTAGACGCTGGGGTTAGAGTACACGCAGACAACAGCTCAGCACTAGATTTAGCTGTGTAAAACATGCACCAGTGCAATCAATTATAGAAAAATGCAACCTATTTATGTCAACATGCACCAAGTGCATGTAAACAAAAAATTAATTTTCGTCTGACTAACCCTTACTTGTCCACACAACATCGATTTTTGAACACACTCAGTACCAATAGCTTTATTTACAATACTACATAACTAATTCCTGGGTTATGTATAATTCATGACACATGACAAAGTCTTCAGAGATCTGAGATTTTTCTTATTTAGACCAGTTTATGTCTCTATATTTCATCTTTGATACATTTCTGGGACCAGGCTGCAACCTGGTTTTGCATGTTGCAACTAGATTTTCATGTCAACATGCCCCTGGTGCATGGTACATCAAGTTCCTTAAATCAAATCCTGATGCAAAAAGTTACAGAACAGAGAGAGTGGTCACCTTCACCACCAAAAAGCCTTAAAACCTCAGCTGCATGTGTCGTGATAGCCATGCTAAAGCCCATCCCTGTGTACCCCATACATGATACTGGTGTCAGGATGCTTAAAGTAACAGTAATCCTTACTGTCAAATGAATTAAATGCTTTAAGCAACCTGATTAAGAGTCAGGTTTGGGAGTCAGGTTGTGTACTGCTTGTTTCAGCAATATTACACTTGGGAACACCAGAAATTGGCTTGAGTGTCGCATGTGTGGAATCAAACCTACATCTATGCTGTGACAAGCTGAAACATTGACCACAGGACTACCCCGCCATCCACTTTTGCCACAGACAGGTCAAGCAGAATATAGCAGAAATAAAACCCAATGACCTGGGCCCCGTTCCACAAAGCGATCATAGCGCTAAGATGATCATAACTCCCATAGTTTAACATAGACTTATGATTGTCGCAGAGTTATGATCGCTTTGTGGAACGAGGCCCTGCACCCTTTTCATCTTCAGCAGAAACATCTCATGTAAGCATGTTCTGGGCCTTTGCTTTACAAAGGGATCTCAGCGCTAAGATGATCGTAACTCCCATAGTTTAACTTATGACTGTCATAGAGTTATGATCACTTTGTGGAAAGAGGCCCTGCACCCTTTTCATCTTCAGCAGAAACATCTCATGTAAGCATGTTCTGGGCCTTTGCTTTACAAAGTGATCGTAACTCCCATAGTTTAACATAAACTTACGGCAGTCGTAGCGTTAATACTGCTTTGTCGAAAAGGGCCTTAGAGTGTGCATGCATGTGGGCTGTCTGACTTGTGTTTCTATCTATCCTGATCACATCCATCCAAACACACACATCTGTCACAATTATGGAACATGGAGGTAACATAGATGATGGTTTTGTAATACAGGACTTGTGGTAGACAAACATCTGACTGACCATGTCTACTCTGGACACTTAAAGAGGCATAAACTATGGTCTGGTGCCCATTCCCAAAATAGGCAAACACATAATTAGTGCCAGAGGAAACTGCAACATTGTGTAACGATCATCTGCATGTCTGTGACATCATGAAAAACTCAGGTAGCAAACAAACTGTTGTTGAGAGGCTTGAATCACACTTCCTATGGTTGTCAACTGGCCCCAAACTTGTCCCCTTCCTAATAAATGTCTGGTCATGAATGCTCCTTCCCAGCCTGAAGACCTTGGCTTTAATGGGACAAGTGGGGCACCCAACATTAACATGCCCTAAGAGATTTTCTCAGTAGCAAAGAGTACACACTGATCCATTGACCGGAGTAATAATCGTGTAGCACTGTGAGCATCCACTTGGTGAATGGAATTTGGTGCATTAAAAATGCACAGATTATTATTTAGGAGATAAACATACTGTGTTTTCAATGTAGAGCTAGGTTACCTGTAGATTTAACCCTAGTAAATTGAATTTGGAACCGAACGTGTTTTTCTGCACGAAATGTATTGCCACACATCCTTTGAATATTGTAGTAACCGCATCTGTGCATTTTGTAACCTGTAATTGTAGATATAGTTATTTAAATATGCCTACCGACAATGACTGAAAATAGTACTATTCTATGAATATTAGCTTCCGCGGTGAGGCGGTCGTCAAACCAGCTGTTTCAATCAGAGGGGGTTTATTGTGATTTAATAGCCTCTGATTGACCAATCAGAATCGAGTAAATTCCAAATTCATGGTAGAATTATTATTATTACCTGAATTTGAGAAAGGTTCAACATATTTCTTGCAATGAACATCGAGTCTCTTTTCTTTCTCCAGTTTCACGCACATGATATTTACTGCTGCCATGTCATATACCGTGTTTATTTCATCAAATGAAAGCAATAACATATTAAAAATGTATTCATACAAGGCTTCGTCAAAAACAAAATATCAACACAAAAGCTTCTTGAAAGTCTCACCTGCTTCGAAGATTTTTGTAAAGGGACTGCCTTTGATATGTTTAGCACCAATCATAACTGATATCTTGTACTCTCCCGATTTGTGGACGGTGAACGAAACTTTTGCAAGGTTGGCATTGATGGGTTCCACGCTGCCATAATCCATCGAGGTGGCGACCTTGACCCCTGCATGCATGATTTCCACCAAGATGCCATCTGCATTCGACACAGGATATGGCTTGCCATTCTTCTGGAAAAACTATAATAAGAAACAATGTTATGATTTATCAAGATCAAAACAAAGAAATAAACCATCATATTCTTAATTCAATAAAAGCATCACACTGACTCTGAGTGTTTCATTATAATGAGTGAGAGAATTTGGTTTTATGACGCTTTTGGCAATATTCCAGCAACATCATGGCAGGGGGACAACACAAATGGGCTTCACACATTGTACCCATGTGGGGAATTGAACCGTTTCTTGAGCATGATGAGTGAACTCTTTAACCACTAGGCTACCCCACTACCCTGTGATTCAGTATAACATCTTTCGACAACTATGCACATTTGATGCATATACACATTTGTGGTGTGGCTATCAAGTGAAATGATCAAAAACTTTGACAAATATAGTCAATAATCAATCGATCAAACAGACATAATCAAATAAACTTAACTTTGACCAATCTCCCCAAAAGGAGGAAATTTCTCTGAACTTAACCCTGAGTAAACTCTAAGAAACGATCATTAATTTACTTGGACAAATTAGAAAGCTGTCTTTCTGTTTATTTTTGTTGTTGTTTCCTTTGTGATATGTACTATATCTACAGTTTCTGTTGGTGCCAAAAATCAAATGTTAATTTATTTTATATATACATCACTAGGCAACAAACAAAACTGATCATATGATAAAATCATAAAATCATACAAGGCACACAAAAAAACTGCATTTCTTTTGGTGCCTAGGACAGAATTGAGATTGAAAGGAGGACTATTTAAATATGATAAAAAATTCAAACATGAATCTAGTCATTGACTGTTTACGATCGATAAGACATGATTATTCAAAGAGAGTGTAAATGAGTAAGCTTTTACACTGAATCTAACATTATTATATTTATAGCAAGACATGTCAGCATCATGTGGAATAAAAGTCTAAAATGAAAGGGCTGTGGAAACCCACGACCACGGGGATTAAACCCATGACCAGTGGTTCCAGGCACAACTGTAAGTACCGTATTCGATGTAATAAGCGCCCTGCTCTAATAAGCGCCTACGGCGATATTTGCCAATATCTTGGCTAGTAAACAATCTCAATTAGCACCCCTTCCAAGTGGTTTACGTACATAAGACTTATTTATTTGTGTATAATACGCACTCGTATGTTATATGCACCCTTAATTATGGGCAATTAAATCCTGGAAAAATATTTCTGTCGTATATAAACATTTCAGGCTGTCAGCATAAACCACGAAATTTACGATCTTTCAACACAAAATACTATTCTAATAAGAGCCCCCTATTTCTAATTTTGAGAGCGCCCTGGGCGCTTATTACGTCGAATACGGTAATCAGAAACATTCTGACAATCTATGTACTGTTAATTGTTGCTATAATTTTTATTGAAACAAACGGAAATAGTCAGAAATTCCGATAAATACCGTTGTCGTGCATGATTTTGCGTCAGTCATGGTGTCACAAAGGACGGTAACTTTGACAATTTCTGTTGAAATTATCAAATCATTGCAATGTATCTACTTTAAATTCCCTAATTTTTCCTACGATTCTCTTCCAATGCATATTCTGAATATGTTGAGCCAATATCTTGAACGAATAGACGAATGGACAGCTCAAAATAGGAGAAAATGTTACACTGTGTAAAATCTGTATTTTGATTTGTTTACATTTCAAACAAGTGCAGTTTTTTAAGCACAGCATTCGTTTTCACACCTTAGTTATTTTGCTTGATTTCGTCCAGCCACTTTGTATTGGTGACAAAGACCATTGGTCATTTGATTCTAAAATGTATGAGGAATTCAAGGATGTGTGTATCGCAGCTAAGTTTGAAATATATGTGATGTTACAGGCGCCTCATTACCAGTGTACCTGAAGCATGATTTTGTAAACACTATCCAATATGGCGGAAAGTTCACTTCGGCGTTCATGTTTGCGTATTTTCCAAAACATTTTAAACGATTCTAGGGTTATAGGAGACGTTTTGGAATAATCATTGGTGATTTCAAAAACAACAGATACCCGTGATCACTAATATGCTATTTTTGAAATTTATTTCTCCGAGTAATTATCCGAAATTTAGATTTCAAATGTTACAAATAACGCCGTGAGTGGTGATTTAGTAATGTGTAAAAAATGGCAACATTAACAATATACCTAATTTTCAGAGGTCATTTTCAGTACTTTTGGTTGGCCTAAAATGCCAGTGGATGATATCATAACAGGGAATTTCCCACCTTATTAAAAACTGTGAAGTGTATTTGTGTGGGTGACGTATTTTGAATTTTATTCGACTTCAAAGTAAGAGGTCGTACAGGAGGGACAATATATGTCCCTGTGGCATCCAGGGGGTTAAACCTAAAATTGTGGCCTCGTCTGAGCAAGCAATCGACGTGTTACATCCAATCAGAGGCTTTTTTAAATGAAATTTAAACTGTTACAGATGTTTTTCTCAGTAATGACAAAAAAGTCACACAAAAGTCAACTTGGATACTACTTATTGCTCTTCTTGACTTCTGTGGTGTACCCTTATTCAGACCTTATACAAATGCAGAAATCAGCATAAAATTTGCTACAAATACTTGTACACCATCCTCACGAACCCAAGTCACTGTCTTCAATGTAAATACATTTTCATCCTAATCCGAAATACCAGTGTGTGCAATCCCCAACCTTGCCACAAGCCTGTTTTGCATGTCAATTTCAGCCTAGTTGTGTAGTACCTTGCAAATGCCAGTCAACCACCTGTAATTAATCAGCTGATTACATCTCCTGTCAATCTCCCACTGAGGTTGAATCCCTGACCTTTCACAACCAGACACTGAGTCATGGCCGAAGGTTTTTCTGGACTGTGTGATATTTCCCTCCAACATCCAATTATTTTTAATAATGATGGATGCTCCAGTTTTAATAGAAATGGTGACAGATTAACAACAGCTTTCATATTCATGACTGTAAATTTACTGCTGAGATATGATGGGTGAGTTGAGGTGAGGTGAAATGGAGCTTAGCGTCATGTTCGGGGTTAGAAATTAATTTATATTTCCACTAGTCTGCAAAAAAACGACCGCGACTGAGCTGTGTTCAATCAAATGAAAAAAGTGGTAGTCCTGAAGGAAATGCCACTGGTCCTTCCTGAATTTTACTTGTCTGGGACTAGTGGACTTATGTTAATTTCAAAACCTGGCATTCAAGATTATTTCATTCATACAGCGACGCGCATGCATTTGTGTGCATGGCATCCTGTACTGGTCCTTGTCCACCTAAACACCACAGTCAGGATCTCAAACCATCAACCTTCTGCTCTCCATGCAAATGCTTTACCCACTACACCATGGAGGCAATCAGGTGTTCAAACTACCAGCCTTCTGCTCTCCAGGCAGACACTCTATCCACTGCACAACAGAAGCAGTCTGGAGATCGAACCACCAACTTTCTGCTCTCTAGGCAGATTCTCTACCCACTACACCATATAGGCGATCAGGAGATTGAACCATCCACCTTCTGCTCTCTAGGCAGACACTCTACCCACTACACCATATAGGCGATCAGGAGATTGAACAATCAACCTTCTGCTCTCCAGGCAGGCACTCTAAAACTACACCATATAGGCAATCAGGACATCGAACCATCCACCTTCTGCTCTCCAGGCAGACACTCTACCCACTACACAACTGTAGCAGTCAGGACATCGAACCATCAACCTTCTGCTCTCCAGGCAGACACTCTACCCACTACACAACTGTAACAGTCAGGACATCGAACCATCCACCTTCTGCTCTCCAGGCAGGCACTCTACCCACTACACAACTGTAGCAGTCAGGACATCAACCATCAACCTTCTGCTCTCCAGGCAGACACTCTACCCAGTACACAAGTGGAGCAGTCAGGACATCGAACCATCAACTTTCTGCTCTCCAAGCAGACACTCTACCCACTACACAACTGTAGCAGTCAGGACATAGAAATATCAACTTTCTCTCTAGGCAGACACTCTACCCACTACACAACTGTAGCAGCCAGGACATCGAACCATCAACTTTCTGCTCTCCAGGCAGACGCTCTACCCACAACACAACGGAAGCAGTCAGGACATCGAACCATCAACCTTCTGCTCTCTAGGTAGACGCTCTACCCACTACACCATATAGGCAATCAGGAGATTGAACCATCAACCCTTCTGCTCTCCAGGCAGACACTCTACCCACTACACAACTGTAGCAGTCAGGACATCGAACCATCAACTTTCTGCTCTCTATGCAGACACTCTACCCACTACAAAACGGAAGCAGTCAGGACATCGAACCATCAACTTTCTGCTCTCTAGGCAGACACTCTACCCACTACACCACAGAGGCAGTCAGGTGATCAAACCACCAAGAATCATTTGTTGTTATAGATATTTATATCAAATCCAAATACAAACACACAATTAAACAAAGGATAAATCTTCATAAAATACTAATTTGTGAGCCAAAGTAAGTATGTAAATAAGTAAGTATCACTTAAGATGTCAACATTTTCAATGTTTTCTCTCTGGAAGTTTGGATACCTAATATAGAATTGGAAAATACAGGATATAAGTTTGGTAAATCCAAATTTTCTCATCATAAAAATTAAACACTTATTCAGAAAAATACTCGTGACTTGTGATTTATTGCAGTTGAATATCACTTCATATTGATTGTCCTCGGTACAAGGAGAGCACAGAACATTTGATTCCAAACTATCAGGTCTTTTATTTCTTCACTTTTGGAAGCAGAAGTAAATAATACCGATTTCCAATTTCAAAATATTAATATCTAAACATTAATGTTGCACCAAGACTATCAGTTCAAATTTGTTAAATGTATTCTCTCGGAAAGTTTAAATGTCAGGCATAAAATCTTAAAATACAGAAAATCAGCTTTGTAAATCCAAATTTTCTTATCACAAAACTTATTGAGGATAATTTCTCCTGACTTGAGAGTCATTGAAGGTGAATATCATTTCATATTGATTTGTCCTCAGTGTAAGGGGAGT